CCCCCCCCCCCAGTTTCCACTCTCAATGCTTTTCTTGTTAAGCTTTCTCAATCAGGTTGAAGCAATCTCATCTCCATGAACACTAACGAGTTAATGGGCTATGCGTCACCTCCTCTTCTATTATAATTAGTTTATTACTGTACTGGTAGTGGTTGTGGGCCTTGTGGTAGTGCTGGTGATAGTGCTAGTGGTTGTGGGAAATGATCAATTGTGAAACCTTGTTATAGGCTCTCCTCTAACCCGATTGGAATGTGGGCACTGGTTTGGGCTTTTTAGTTTATGGGCCCTACTTTAATGGGCTACAGGGTACATGATACAAACCCAATATCCCAAAATCAAGACGATATGGATATGTGGGCTTTGCACTATGGAGCAAGGTCCTCCTATTCATGGCTCCTTTTGCTACCGTACGTAATCCTTCTATAGTTCTTTTCTATACAAGAATTATTAAGAGGGAGTGGGATTGGGACTTGGGTGCTCTAATTCTATGCTCCATTACATAATGAACTAAATAATGCTCTACACGATGTTGATTAGACTCGGGGGCATTCATTTTTTTTTTAATTTATGTGGGGATCAGATAAAATTTATTTTCTTGTGTATTACTTACCCAGGTATCATTTACTCATTTCCGAGGTAGGTAAATAACTTTTCCACCTAGAAAAAATTGCCAACACTTGGATGGGCAAAAAATTGTCCCTTTTAATAATGGATTTTTATGGTTAAGATGGTCATTGCCTTATTTAATTGGGAAATAAAAGAAGATAGGTAAATGGACTTACCTGAGTAAGTGTTTCCTCCAGGTGAATAACATGCCGAAAAGCGAGCGGGGCCTTAAAAAAATTTGCCATAAAACAAGGCCTCACCAGACTTTCACATCTCTCCTCACCATCACTTAGCTTTTGAGTTCTAACTCACTCATTTTCATTTTCCTTCCAGTTTACAGTTCATGGTGAACACTTTCAATTGCTGTTTAGTGTATGAATTAAAGAACAGACTGAATTATTCATGTTATTAATCTAAGGGATGGGTGTGATTCAGCTAAGGACTCGCTTGAATTCTTGATCCGATGGTTGGGCCGGTTCCTACGTTACAAGAACCGGGAAGTCTTCTTGACCGGAGAAAGCTATGCCGGACACTATGTCCCTCAGTTGGCCAGAGAAATTATGAAATACAACACCAGGACTAAGCACCCCATTAATCTCAAAGGAATAATGGTACTCTTTCTTTTACCTTGTTTTCTCAATTCTCTCTTGTTTATGTTTGAGGATATGCTTTGATGCTCAAGTCCATAGAACAATGGCACTCTTTTCTTTTTGTCCATCTCCAAGTCTAACAAATGATAATTGGTAAACCGGATGGATCAACCAACTTGATGAACAATCAGCTACACAAACTGGTTCTGCAAATTGTAGTCCAAAGGTTTATGAAACAACTTCATTGAAAACCAATGTACTGATGTACACATTCCTTCCAGGTTGGGAATGCAGTCACAGACAATTACTACGACAACCTGGGCACAGTAACCTACTGGTGGAGCCACGCCATGATCTCCGACAAAACATACAGGCAACTGTTAAACACTTGCGACTTCCGCCGGCAAAAGGAATCCGACGAATGCGAATCACTGTACACATATGCCCTGGATCAGGAATTTGGCAACATTGACCAGTACAACATATATGCTCCACCTTGCAACATTAATTCAGATGGCGCTGTTACACGTCGGATGCTACGTTTGCCACATCGACCACATCCGGTAATATTTTCGAATATTTTACAGTAACAACACAGATTAATATATGAAGTCCAGTTGTGTGATTTGATAAATTAATAAGTTTTCATTAATTCAACAAGCTTTGCATCATCTGGTTCTAATTTCATTGATAACTTGATCCATCTACAATAAGTTGAATGTGTTATACTTCTTGTTTTGGTTTGGTGTTTTTACCAGATTTTCTGGCAGTTTTCTGGATATGATCCATGTACAGAAAAATATGCTGAGATTTATTACAACAGGCCGGATGTGCAGAAAGCCCTTCATGCCAACACAACTAAAATCCCTTATAGATGGACTGCTTGCAGGTGATTGACAGAAACATACTTTCTTTTCTTCATTAATTTTGTAAATTTGAATGCCTTCACATTATAACATATATAGAGTGTAGTGTTATATTAAAAGAAGCACTCTGAAATCTGCATCAATAGAAATGGATGTGTACTGATAAAGCTGGTGTTATTTAATTATAATACTGTTATTGCAGTGGAATTTTGAACCGGAATTGGAATGACACAGAAGTATCAATTCTTCCCACTTACAAGGAGATGATTGCTGGTGGTTTGAGAGTCTGGGTGTTCAGGTCCATGACTTTTCTGTTCTCTGTTTAGTTAGTTTCCTTCTCAATTTAGTCCTCTAGTCCTAATTGTGCTTCTTCTTCTTCTTCTTCTTCTTCTCGACTGTTTACTGCAGCGGCGATGTCGATTCAGTTGTGCCAGTTACAGCCACCAGGTTTTCTCTTGCACGGCTCAACTTAGTTACCAAAATTCCATGGTATCCGTGGTATGTAAAGAAGCAGGTCAGTAATTAGTCTGCCACTCTGCCTATTGCCCATGTTTTTGTATACTCTTACAGTCTTATTACAACTTTTCCAGGAACTTTCCATCTTAATTGATTAACTCCAAACCATGATTCTAATAGTGAGTTGTGGTTTCTGAAGGTGGGAGGTTGGACAGAAGTTTATGAAGGGCTCACGTTTGCAACAGTACGTGGTGCAGGCCATGAAGTACCACTCTTCAAACCCAGAGCAGCTCTTCAGCTGTTCAAATCATTTTTAAGGGGGGAAAATCTACCCAAGTCATAAAAAAAAAAAAAAAAAAAAAACTTCTGTTTTGAAGACAAAGAGTCCTCTTCTTTGTTTTGATTATCATAAATCCTGGAAAAGTCAGGAAAAAGGAAATCAAAATTCCATTTGTGTTGATTTAAAAGGAAAAGCACGAGTCAGAGTTAAAAGAATGTGTCTGTGTGATAGAAGAAACAAATTCAAGTCAGAGGAGTGTTGTTTGTATCTTAGCTGTGCATTGATTTCCAAAAGTCATTTTGATGAAAAATAAGAAAAGTGAAGTTGTGTGGTCTTGATTTTTCTTTCTGCTCCTCATTAAAGAACTCTAGATTATATCAGCCCAATTGTCTCACATGGAAGACGAAATGGGTCTTAATTTCTTGAGCATCTCTTCAGGTATATGTGGCTTTCAAAGGTCAATAGCTGATATTGTCAATGAATTAAAGTGTCCAAACCATTGGCAGTTCACAGCGGAGAGGTGGATTGTGACAGTTAAACACATGAGCCGTCTAGAGAGTTGCCTGACCAATGTGGACAATCTGGACAGGCCATCTCATGCCTGGACTGACTGGAGACTCTGTGCTTAATGCATCTTGACGACCCATCTAGAAAACACTTTTCCCTTTATTAAAAACTCCATGACTCAGGACAAGGGTAGGGGGCTTTGACCTTGCTAGTTGCCATACAGTGGGCTGCTTTGGACCTACTTGTAATTTACAATAAATTCTGAATTAATCAACTCCATTGCATGACCAAGCATACCCATTCAACGATTGAATAGCCCCGCTCTGACAAGGTTGATTTGATGCTTCTGGGCATAAATTAAGGAGAGAAATGCTAGCGAATAAGGAGTTTAGGCAACTAATATAAGCAAGAAAGTTTCTTGAAATTTCAAAGCATACAAATGGAGTTATATTCAGAAGTGGAACAAAATTTGTTGTAATTAAGGGAGGGGGTCTCTTTTAACAACATATTTATGTACAGTATTGAGGTATTTTCAAAAGTCAAAGATGTCCAGGACCCATCATTTTCAAAGTTCCGTGGTATGCAAGTTCTTCAAAACTAAGGTCAGATGCTTGAATTCTTGTCAAACCCTTGAAACCCTTTCTCTGTTAACTACTTCTCTCTGGCCATGGTGCATAGTGATTGTGGAGCGAATTACATCATCCTGACTGGTTACCAAGATAGCAAGAAGTAGGACCAATGTTTTTAAAACCGACCCGGAGGTCAACCCGGTTTTACCAACGGGTCGCAGGTCACTGGTTTTATCGGGCGGGTCGAATGGCTCAGTTCGGTGATATCATAATTAAAATAGTAAAAAATTATATATATATATATAGATAAATAAATGTTTGAAAAATATCATAAAACTTATAAAAAATGTCTAATATTTATGAAAAATATATATCCAAAAATGCAAAAACTGTGAGAAAATTTAAAAAAAATGTAAAAAGAGAAGGGGGGCTCGAGTTGGGACTTTTTGGGAATTTTTCAAAATTTTAAACCTAAAAACTGGACTAAAATGTATAGGTCGACAGTTGAACCGTCGCCCGCTTAACGGGTTGCCAGTTCAACTGTTCAATCGTCTGGGTCGCCTGTCAACGGCTTTTTAACAAATCTCGGGTTTTTATGAGAACTAGAGTTGGAAAGTCGACCGGGTGACGGTTTAAATGGTTCGACCATCCAAGTCAACAACGGGTTAAAAACCTTGAGTAGGACCGTAATCGGGTCGGATAAATTGGGCCTAAGGGCCAAGCCTTGGAGACTTAAAGTCAAGCCTGATCCGCCCATTCAGGCCCAACCTGCACTGAATTTTGATATACTTGGGTTGGGTTCAGGTGCATTCTAGGCTCGAGCTACCTAGTGTAGGGGTGTCAACGGACAGGTTTTGGATTGGACTCCGTTCAAATCAAAATTCATTTGGACGGATTGGACGGACGAATAAGACGTATTGAATTTGGACAGACCAATATAAAGTATTGGATTGGACCTGGTCTGTCCATAATGAATTTACATTGGATTAAGCCAATATCTGGTCCATTGATAGAAGATAAGAACATAGGTGTCAATGGACCAGGTTTTAAGTTGAAACCAATCTAAATTAACATGAATTTAAACAGATTGGGTAGTCTCTGAATTGGTCCAAAATGGTCCAAAATATTCACTGGACTGGATTAGACCAGGTCCATTTGTAATGGACTCACATTGGACTGGACCGGATTGGACCAAATCCAATCCAATTGACACCCCTAGTGTTAGGCTCAGGTCTAGCCTGAAAAATTAAAAAACCTGAAGTTTTGGGCCTAACCCAGTAAACCTAGTCTACAATTGAAACTCTAAGTCCAATATGCAAAATTGCGTGTTAGGTTAGTCCAAACTTGGGTTGGTCTCCAAAACGACTATTTTATTAAATATATATGACATTTTCTTAATTTTATTATAATTTGTATCATATTTTGTGTTTGAAATGGTAAATTTGATAGATAATAAATAAGATAATGTTAATTAAAAATGTTTAATTTATTAACACATAAATAATCTAATTTTTCTACTAAGATTATATTATCAAATTTTAAATTATTATTTAAATAAATAAATAAATATAATTTTCAGTATAATTTGTTAGATTTTGATTTTATTCCAATAAACCCAACTATCAATCAGATAGTTATGCATCTATGATTTTATCCCAAGCTCAAACCGGATTTTATTTGTTGGATTTCGATTGCTCTCAGATGTTATATATCATTAATAAAATTAAATTAAAATAACTGAAGATTGAATTATCATTAATAAATTACTGTTTTGACTTTGACATATGTATGTATGGATGTGTCATGTGTGTATATGTATGGCCAGCTTCTTTATTGCAATTTGCAAGACTTTTTCGTTTTCTTCTTTTCGTAGTTATTGTGTGACAGTAAGGATATTTTAGTAAATATGAAAATAGTAATAAAAATTTAAAAGATTAAAAAATGGTGGTTTGGTTATTTTGTGGCAAGCTAAGGACCATTTTAGGTAGTTAAATTAATAAGGAAGACCAGAAGTCAAAATTCTATGAGACAGAGGAGAAAAATATATAGTTAGTTGGATGGAGAGATCCGCCATGGAAGTTGCTCCCGAAAAACTTCGTATAATTTCCTGGAAGAAAGCTTCAAGTTGATTTCAAATTTTCAATTTCTCTTGTTCAATTTGTTTTTAACCTTTTATCCTCATTTTTTTTGTCTCTCTCTCTTCGGCGTCTGTCGTCGATCCATTTCCAAGGTCTGGAAGCTCTAGAATTTCAACGTGCAGCTTTTCTTATGTTCTGAGTATGTTCTTAATTTCGGAAATCCAGGAAGCCGTAGTTTCCTCGAAATTTTCGTATTTCATTAACGAATTGGATTGATAAACGCTAATCAAGTACACTTAAACCCCTTCTTCTTTGGTTTTCAAAATTAAGAAGTTCTCTTTTTTACTTTTCAGTCTGCTTTCAATTACTGTTCTGCAACCTGGGCCTTTACTTGAATCGTTTCAGGTCTGGATTGACTTGCTATTCGAGACCCCTTCCCTGTGGGACCTCGGATTGTTATTGGGATCTCTGTTGCTGTTTCAGTTGTTAGCTAGCTTACAATTCAGCGCTCTAGTTAAGCTAGCAGTGTTTGCTAAAGTGGGTTCTAACTTAACCCTCTTCATTTTTCTCTTGCTTGTGTCTAATTGTTTTCTGGGGTTTGAGGCTTGTTGAGATCCCCGTGTTAAGCTCTTTTAATATCTGGAGATCTTCCGACACGAGGGGGATTTTCTAATTGAAGCATTTAGTAGTAGGAACCATCTTTTGTTTGTCTGATTTTTCATTCATGATTGATAGAATATTGTCCTGTTAATATTTTTATTAAATCGATACTAAATTCCTTTGGGTTTGTATTTCATGCACTGAGAATTCATCTGAGTTCCTGTTTCTTTTCAAGCATCTTCATCCCTTTTTCTTAGTTTATGATGGCGGCTTAGAAGGCAAGGGCTGGTATTTCTTTTGCTTTTGGTTCCAAGCTGATGAGTCTCTCCCGGCCCCTTTCTTAATCAATTCTTGAAACCTTACAAGGATTTGAGATTGGGAAGGGAGGGTCTACAAGGAATTTTGTCCTTCGGCTTCTTATTGTTTTTAGATTAGTAGAATGGATTGATCATATTATATCTCCTCCCTGTTACCATTCCATGTTAACCTGCAATTCATTTTGAGGGTTCACCTTCGTTCAATGTTCTAGTTGTATTCCCAGTTAGTGTTTGGGGAATAGTTGAAGACTTATTGGTTAGAGGACTCCCTCTGTTTTCTCCATCAGATCTTGTATAAGCATTAGTTTTGGTTTATCATAGAGGTATTTCAATTTCATCCAAAAACATCTAATCTTCTTCATCAGTATTTGGGAATTTGGGGTCTGGGTTCCTTGTTTCTCCAGTAATTTTGTATGCGATGGCAGAGTGTAAATCCTTCATACCAACCATAGAAGGAGAAGAACACGTAATTGCTGCGGCACAGCACATAGTAAGGGCATTAGGGTCAAACAAGAATTTGACAGATGATATGAGGAAAATCCTGAGAGAACTTGACACCCAATTATCCAGCATGACTCTGGTTGCTGCAAACAAGAAAATGGAACTAAGAGAGATTGAAGAACATCTCAATTTCATTCAGGAGAAGGTCACAAGTCGGGAGTCTGAGCAGTCTATGATATGGGAATCCAGCCCAAAAGAAGCATCCGAGTATCTAAAGGTCGTTGATGAAGTACGAAGGCTGACAGAAAACTTGGGAAGCATGCCGTTAAATAAAGGAGAAGAGAACAAACTCCTATGTCGAGCTCATAGTATTCTTCAAACAGCCATGGTGAGGCTAGAGGAAGAGTTCAGTAATATTCTTATTCAGAACAGGCAACCCTTTGAACCAGAGCATATGTCCTTCCGCTCCAGTGAAGGAGATATTGTGGATGACGTATCAACCGTTTCAGTTTATGACAATGCAGGTGAGGATTCTCTTAGGAGAGATAGTTGTAGCAAAGGCATAGAGGAATACATCATAGATTTAGTCAATCCAGATGTAATTCCTGACCTTAAGTGCATAGCAGATGTGATGTTCATGTCAAATTTTGATCATGAATGTCGCCAGGCTTATATTAACATCCGGAAAGATGCCTTGGATGAATGCCTCTTCATTCTTGAAATGGAGAAACTGAGCATCGAGGATGTGCTGAAGATGGAATGGAGTAGTTTGAATTGCAATATTAAGAAGTGGATGCGGGCTATGAAGCCATTTATCAGGGTGTATCTTGCCAGTGAGAAACGGCTCTGTGACCAGATCTTTGGGGAGTTTGGACCAGTTAGTTCCACTTGTTTTGTTGAGACATCAAAGGCTTCAATGCTGCAGCTCTTGAATTTTAGCGAAGCTATAGCAATTGGACCTCGCCGGCCAGAAAAGTTGTTTCGGCTACTCGACATGTATGAAGTGCTGGCCGATCTTCTCCCAGATGTAGATGCTTTGTTCTCAGATGATACTGGGTCTTCTATTCAATTTGAATGCCGTGAAGGACTAAAGAGATTGGGTGACTCTGTTAGGGGAACATTATTGGAATTCGAGAATGCTGTTCGGTCAAACACATCAACTAATCCATTTGCTGGAGGTGGAATCCACCCCATGACCAGGTATGTCATGAATTTTATTAAGGCCTTGACTGATTATAGTGATACTCTCAATTTTATCCTTAAAGACAAAGATGGGGTGGATCTAGAGTCACTGTCGCCCAATGTCAATCCAGTTATAGAAGAGGAGAAAGACACAGAAAGCTCTTCTTACAATACCTGCCCTATGGCTCACCATCTTCAGTCCATTACTTCAATTTTGGAATCCAACCTTGATGGTAAGTCCAAATTATACAAGGATGCGTCAATGCAACACTTCTTTGTGATGAATAACATCTGTTACATGGTCCAGAAGGTCAAGGGATCTGAACTTGGGGCCCTTTTGGGGGACAACTGGATCCGACGACACAATTGGAAATTCCAGCAGCATGCAATGAGTTATGAAAGAGCTGCTTGGAGTTCTGTACTCTCTTTCCTCAGGGATGAAGGGATATCTGATGCAGGTTCCAACTCTGTCTCAAAGGCACTTCTCAAGAAGAGAATTAGAAACTTCAATCTTGCATTTGAAGAGGTTTACAAGAGCCAGACAGGGTGGGTCATCCCAGATCCTCAGCTTCGCGAGGATTTACGGATCTCATTATCCCTGAAAGTAGTCCAGGCATACCGGACGTTCATGGGAAGGCATGCCAGTCAGCTGGATGGTGGATGGCACAGTGACAAGTATATCAAGTACAGTGCAGATGACCTGCAAAATTATCTCTTGGATCTCTTTGAGGGTTCACCAAGATCACTGCATAATTCACGCAGGAGGTGAATCCATAAGAATGTCAGTTTCTGGATTAGCTTTTTTTCCCTTCATTTTCTGTACATGTTTATGATAAGATGTTGAGTTAACCATGTTCATTAACCTTAACCTGGAGATAAATTTCTTATTTTTGTATTTCTATTATACAAGTGCACCAGAAAATTTTGGAAGTTGTAATTATTTTATGCATTTTCTTTTGGTAATGCATAAATTGGGGATATAGGCATGAATGTTCATTTGAGCTTGCCTGTTTGTCTAGTAGATGCAATCACATTATACCACTCTTTATGTTGTGGCATGTAGCATGGCATTGGCTCTTTTTCTAACACTGCCAACTTCAATAATTGTGTCAACATGAAATGATGAAAGTCCATCTGTGGTTCTTATCTCATATACTTTACTTTTGAACTTAATCAGAAAAAAAGAAAAAGAAAAAGAAAGCCCAGAGTTGCCACTTTTAACTGGTTGTTTAATATAGACTTGAGACATTGCATCTACAGAAATGGGTTTTCATTGCCAGAGAAAAAGAGAAGGTTTCAAAGGGTAAAGAAAGAGAATCAAGTGACTGCATATAGTATATACCTGACTTCATAAAACAGAAAAAGAATATTAAAAAAAAAGAAGAGAATGTCATTGGATGGCATGCCTATTGGTGATTGTGGGGCTGAGTCACTGCAAATTGCTGATTTGGTAATAGTAATACATGTGATGTGATCATCTGGATTCATGTGTTTCACATATATAATTAATGGGACACGCTTTGAATTCTTCCCTCATGCAAGTCATGGGAGGGTATGTAGGTTTTTTTTTTTGTTTGTTTGTTTGCTGCAAGAGAGTATGTAGATTTTAGTTGTCCAAGCTATTTAAGAAGAATTCAATTTTCGTCACTGGTACCCTTTTTATAAAGTATAAGCTGTCCAACAATTGCATAAGATAGGTAGTGCACGAAAAATACCTTCCTTTCTTTTATTTGGTATTGGTATGAAAACAATAACAACAAAGGAAGAGGAAAGGTTAGGGCTGATTTTCTGTTGGCTCAAAATCATCTCTTAATATTAATGTGGATGCAGTCATAGACTCGTAGATTTAGAAGGTACAAACTGAAAATGAGAAATATGGTGATTTAGTAGATATCATCATCATTAAAGGAGTCTTTCTTAATAGGTATATTTTAGCAGTGAGTTGTCTTACCTTCTAAAACCATCTGGATGAGTGGATGTAGCCTTTCTTAGCTTAAAAGTATGGCCCATGTCCTACTATAACCAGACAAGTTCATGTGATTAGAGCTATAAAATCTCGATCAATTGGCTCCAAAAATAATGATATTTAAATCTTCATTGAGAAGATAACTAAATAAGCATTTTGATGCACAAAGCCACAAATGACAATTAAGTTGTTATCATTTAAAGGCACAAAAAGGTGCTTCATTCAAAGTGAAGTTATTACTAAAATATTGGAATTCTAGTATCATAATTCATAAGCTTTTTCCAAGAGTTGGATTAACTGGTTGTTTACTAGCATTCTCTATAGTATAGAATGGAATTGACCTGATCTTGATAATTTCATTTTGAAATCAGAACCAGGTTAGGACATGCGAGATTAATTCCACCTCCAATTCCTATTCCTCACCGATCCGAACACCACAGAATTTGAGAGTAAATGAGCAAGCCTGCCTCTGAGGCCCCCTTTTTGTTTGGTATTTGGTGGGGGGTAAGTTGGTCAATCGGTAATTGACCATGAACCCCGCATTTGTTTGTCGCTATATTGGATCTTACGGTAATTGAAGATATCAGTAAGTATCAGTTACCTTCTTGCAAGATGGATAAACAATTTACCTACACGCTGATAGTGATGGTTCTCTCTCCCTTCCACCACTCTCTTTACCTGAGTTGCATACAAAAATGCTGAAACCTTATTTACCCAGGCAAATTTTACCTGAGAAACACTTGTCAGGGTAAACATTCTCGTTTGAGAGCATCGTTTTTCCTCAATTATAACAAAGCAAACGTCGGTCCAACCTTGATATTTTCGTTGAATTGTTCATTACTGTTGAAGAATTCCTGACCTTTAATGCTGAAAATCTCTCTTGGGTTTCTTGTAATCTCGTGTTCGTCTTGGTTTATAACTTTATTTTGCCATGGGGAGTGCGAATTTGTACCATTGTGTGGCGTAAGAAGAGAATCTATTGTGTGCCATTGCCATGGGAACCGTTTAAACGATCCACCCTAAACTCTCTAATGAGAAGAAACTACAAATGCAGGAAAAATGAGGGTGTCACCTCTGAAATCGTAAGGATGATAAGAATTAGGGCTTGATTGATTATATTTTTTTTTTCTCTATAATCCACCATACCCGCTCAGATATGATGCAAGATATTCACTTGGAAGCACTCTTACGGAGATGGTCTTCTTCATAGACTTACACTTGAAATGGGTAATATATCTTTAGAGGTACATATATTACAGTTGTCCAAAAATCTAATAAATCAGGTTACAAAGTGCCAAAGTATAAATTTTTAAGCATCAATGGTGATAAAATTGCATGCCAACAAAATTCAAGTAGGATTTTTGCCTGTGAACATTTTGGGACCATATTTAAAACTTGAATCAACCTCAAAAGAAGAAGAAATCCTCAATGCTTCATGGAAGAAGCAATTGAAGGGTTAGACTGCCTGAAATTGCTTCCTCCACTTACTAGCCCAGCCAAGGATTCAATTTCAGTTCCAGAGTTCAACACACGGCCTAAAACTAGGGTCAGTCAGAGTGGTGCTGATTTCTCAATGAAACAAACCCCATTCCTTGTTCCCCACCTCAGTGGCAGAGCTAGGTGCAGATATAGATCTAGATATGAGATGATCCCAAACTAATTTCATAACCACCATCCACCACCAGTCAAATCACATTTCACATCCCACTTCCAATTTCTTGGTTCCTTGAGTAGACAGACAGTCATTCCAGCTTGAGGCAGGTGAGCGAGTTGGATCAGGAAGGAGTTTGACTGCTGGGATGTGATTGGATCCTACTCAAAGCACTCTACCAAAGATAAGTAATAATAAGTCTTCGGGTTGGACAGGCAGTAGAGATATGAATTCCTACCTTTAGGGCATATGCTTTCAAGACACAAATGAACTATTCCATTTGGAGAGGGCTTTTCCTCAGGGGGGAAGTTACTGACTGTATATTGAAGTAAAGCACCTGAAGTTTCAAGCAAGCTTGGAACAATGAAAGCTTCTAAGACAAAAAAAAAAAAAAAATAACAGTTGGGTTACAGATGGATGAATGGAATATGAAAACTAGGGATTTCTGAAGCAACTTTGCCCCACACACACTAAAAGATGAGCCACAACTTGTTTCTATCCAAATACACAAAAAACTCTTCGAGTAGTAAGAGGATTTTTTTAAATAAATAAAAAAGAAAGTTTATTAAGAAAAAGAAAGAGATATGAAGACAGTGATGAGGCATCCCCAACAACAACAAAAAACAAAATGACCCCAAAGACCAACAAAACAAAAGCCCCCCAAGACAATGCCCAACTATCGGCTAGTGAAAGGTAAAGAAAACAAGGTAGAAAGTACATAAATAATTAAGAACCTAACAAAACTCCATCAGCCATAAAGAGGAATTTCAGCCACCAACTTATATCCGGTTTCCAATTTAGCTATTATTTTCTCAACCACATCCAAGAAAACATGATTTTAACCTGGTTGGGTAGATAACCAAAAAACTGAGGCAGTGAGGAACTTGAGACATCTTCAATTTGAAACAGGAAGGCCCACCAAACTGGATAGTTGATCCAAGCATGGGTGTTTTGTACCCACCATAAGAGCTACTCAACAAATTGGAGGGGAATCTAGTCATATGTCTTTTCTTTTCTTCTTTTTTCCTATCTTTTTTCTGTGGTGTGCTATATGTTGTCTTTTTTTGTGTTAGGGTTGCATCTCAAAAAATAAATTAAGGAGTTCTCCTTATCAATAAAAAATGAATTTTCTCTCTTTCATTAAAATGAAAAAGAAAGGACGAAAACTTACTAAAAATGAAAAAAAAAAGAAATGAATGGACTGCTCAGAACTCATATTGTGATCATTATGGAAGTTGTTCCAAAGAGATATTAAAAAAAAAAGGACATTACCCAGTGTTGGTCCCAGCCATCTGTGGTCTTGGGAGGGTAGACTGGATACGGACCTAACCTTTGGCTTTCTTTTGCATAAAGTGGATGCTCTCAGACTGGAACCTGTATTCTCACACTTGCCAGGCTGAGATTTTACCATTTCACCAAGTAATGACTCTGTCTCAATGAGAGATGTTGCTAAAAATATTCCATACAAATAAAAGCCACAAAAGAGCAACAACAAATCCAAATTAAATGTGGAATTCAATAATAGTAATACATAAAAAGGCCATAACCCAATTCTGGTCCCATCTATCTGAGTCTTGGGAGGAGTAGACTGAATATGGACCTACTTAGCATGAAGTGGCCACTGTCAGAATTGAACCTATGTTCCCATGCTTGTCATCCCAAGATTTTAAAATCTTGCCAAGCAATGACAATAATATATGTAGTTAAAAAACTGAACAGTCCTGTTTCTTTCTTTCCCAACAAAGCTTATTTAAATACAAAAGAGATAGTATTGTATTAAGATAAACTTATCAACAAAAAAAGAGCCCATGTACAACAAGGGACTGTACATTTAGGATACACAGAAGGCAACAAACATCAAATAAACTGAAAAGGTATAGAAACAAAAAGCCTCTGTAAAAATAAGCATTGTAAGGTCTTCCTTTAAAACAGACTATGTGAAACTGCCCAAGTCTCAACCATTTCAGGAAGGGTATTCAAAATTCTAAATAGAAAGCAATAATAGAGCCAGTAAAAAGATAAGCAAATATATAGAGATGCAGTTAGAAACTTGGAGCTACTTAATGCAACCATCCTCTTCTTGTAACCATTCAACTTTCTTCTTCTTTTATTGTATTCTGATGGTCTTGAATTTGGAAACCTTTAAGACATCTTCTTCCTTGAGAGTCTCTATGACAAAAGCAGTATAAGGGAGACAAAAGTTGAAGCTTCCAAATCAGCTTCATTGGCAAATAGTTTCTATTACAAATTTACAATACTCCATTGCAAACACCTCATAATAATTTTATTTCCTACTTATTCGCGGGTTTTTTTCTCATTTTCCAAATTTTTTCTAAGGCTCAGTTTGGAAGGAGTACAAATACAAATATGTAGAGTGCAAAACCTTGTATTTTGTATTATTTTGTATGTATGTGCACTGCACATA